ACAGCAACAACTGGTCGTCCTCTTAATGCCTCATGCTGCTGATGGTGCTGCTGACACCACTGTGGATGATTCAGACCATGATCCTGTTTGGGAGTAAGCTTGCTGCCTTGTACCAGAGGAGTGAACAGCTGGAGTACTCTGTGAAAGCAGAGTGGTTTTCACTTGGTTTCACTTTTACTGTGCACCACTATGTTGCCACTTGCCAGTAATTTGGTGCCCCGCTGCTATAAGTGCTCCGACACTGTATGTTGTACAGATTGTTAAGTCTCGAGGTCAATTTGTGATTTGTGATATAAAATACTGCCTTGGAAACAATGTGGTACTTACTTATACATAAGTCAGCTACTTATTGTACATAATATGTAAATCAACCATGTATGTATGTATTGTATTCTCATGTGAGAAACAGCTTGGTGTTTCAATCCTTACTTGCTGATGAATTTGTTCTCTCCAATCTGAACCCCGTACTGTGTGTCATCCATTCTCAGTAAGCATGAGAGGAGCTGAGAGACAAAGAAGCAACACAGAGAGTTAATAGTTTTCATCCATGGGATTCAGTCTCATGACTCCTCATGACCGGCAGCGAGCAACAGACGTGAAGAGCGCAGCCTGAAGAGGAGGAGAGTGACTGCAGGAAGAGGAGGAGGTACAGCTCCACAGAGTCAAACAATAACAGCGGATCATATCTACTTCCCGTCGATGTATTTCCTTCAAAAGACAGATCAACTCATAGTTATCAGTTAAACCACCACTATTGTATCTCTCATTACACAATCTAAACGTTTGGTGTGTGATGAAGTGTGACAGCTGCTCTCCACTCTCCTCCTCCTCCTCCTCATGCCTACAAGAGGAGGAAGAGAGTCTTTGCTTTCCTGTCACCCCTTTTAATTCTCTCCTTATGTCTGTGTCGCTCTTTTACACATAAACACTCAAAAACACAGGCACGTACGCACACATGCAGCTGTTTTAAGTGGCACTCGGCCATCGTTTTCCTTCCCTCCTTGCTGAACGAGTGTGTATGTTTGTCTTTGTGTATCTGCGGAGGAGGAGGCCTCCGGAAGGAGACGAACAGGTGCAGGACACATGGGCCACCCGCAGAGCCAAATCAGTTCAGCTGCTTACACATTCATCCCTGAGCAAGCTACTGGCAGCACACATTAATGTGTTTAATGTCTTATCTGTCATATTTGTGTCTGTACATATACAAGCAGTCTCTCCATCTCTAAAGTTAAACCCACATGGACATTTCACACCCAGGAGGATTCATCTCTAGAAACACGAGTGGACATTTTATTCCCTTGGTGACTGAAATTAATCTTGTTTTGTTGTTAGACAATTTTAAAAAGGACCACACCAATGTGTGTATGCAAGTTTAGCTCCTTCCCTACAAATAATTAACACTTTTATGGACCATTTGTGAATGTCGGATTTGCAGTTTTGGAGTTTTACGATGGCAATATCAGTGTCTGTCCTCCACTTTCATGGTCCCCAGATAATAAATCCTATTTCTTGTTATTGAAATATCTCAGCAAGTATCGGATGTATTATACTATTGTGTACAGATGCTTACAGTGTAGAGAGTAATAACTAATGACTTTAGTTTAGGCTTCTGATTGTCCCATAAATATTTAATTTATCCAGTGAAATATCTCAACAACCACT